ACATCATCTTTCTCAGCCCCTTCCGAGTGCTCCGAGGAGACTGGAACTAGGGGACACAGAAGTAGCTTTTTGAAACCCGGCAGCCGGTCCCTCGAGGTCAGTGCCGCTCCGCTGTGCGCACCGAGGTGTGGAGAAGGGACACATGCCCATGCACACTTCCACAGCTCCCTCCATGCCAGCCGTGCTCATCTCCCATGCACCAGGAACCCACGCTGCTCCTTTTCACCACCTACACTGACTTCCACGTGTCCTACGCTGCCGCCTTAGGGCCAGGACGTGGCTTAAGCTACTCGCAGGCACAGGCAGGACAGAGTCTAGTCTGCCTGGCCTCTGCAGCGAGGAAAAATGGATGGCTACAGTGATATCACATAACGCCAGGACCCTCCAAGATCCCTAATTTCCAGGCAGGGGCACAGTTTGCAGAGCCGGTGCCGGCACGCTGCCAATGCTGGGGTTAGGGCTCAGCCCGCCCGCTCCTCCGACACACTAGCCAAGGTATCAGCACGCTCATCGTTCCGCACATCCCCTCCAGCACTCCTATCCGGCTCTCCGGGAGCTGGACCGGAGCATACGGGTTTCAGAGGCATGAAGCGAAGCAGCCGTGAGCACAAACGCTGCTGCAGCAAAGCTGAGCCCCCACAGACCCTACGCTGCTCGCTGCCAGGGGGGAAAAAAAATCTTTTTCTCCTGCACTACCGCCTGTTTTTGCTGCCGTGTCCTTGTCCCAGCACATCCGCTTCATGCTGCCTACAGCACAAGCTTGCCAGGGCCAGGGCTCTCCGAAAAAGCACAGAGGAGCCACGACAAGCACCTCTGGGCAGCCCCAGAACAAAACGCGGTGGCGAGCTGCAGCATCCTGCCCATCCGTTGTGCCAGTGCTGGCAGACGATCATCCGGCCCCAGCCCAGAAAGTCAGTGGGTTGGGTGGAAAGGAGGGTGCAGACCTGCCTCCCACTGTGGTGCTCGCAGCCTGGCAGCGCTCGGAAGCGCGGCTGCCATGGGGAAAAGGCCTCGGCACAGAGCTACGAAGAGCCTTCTGCATCGAGAGCTCCCGCAGAGCGCTGTTGAGCCAGCTAACTCCCTCTTTAGAGCTGGTCCCGGGCACCTAAGCCGTGTGTTCAACAGCCTGGAGACCAAGATGTACAAACCTTTCAATTTATACGGATCTAGGCATGGATAGGGTATATAAAATTGATACACAGATGTGCAAGCGTGTGTGTATGTTCATATACAGATGTATACACCCCCTGCATATCACACCCCCTGCACACCTCCGAACCGTGGGTGCAGGACAAGATTCCAGCCAAATCCCTCAACATCAGGTGTCCCCAAAGCTTTTTGGGCTGCTCTGCTCCCCCAAGCCAAACCCCCAGCTTGCTACGCACGGTTTGAGCGCGGTAACTGGTGACTCGTGCAAGGCTGCCGCGCTTCCCAGCCGCCCCAAACATGCGTGGTGCGCATCACCATCCAGAGAGACCTCGCCCGGCGTGCAGAGACTGCAGGCACCAAAGCCCTCCCCCTGCTCCAAGTGCCACCAGCCAAGCGGGACAGCGAATCGGCACATGCACAGGCAGTAGCGTGAGGTGCCCCTCAAAGCATCAGCGAGCAGTGACCCAACGTCCCTCCGTGTCCCCGCCGCGCCACAGCGGGGTTTGCTTCTGCTCGCACGGGGGGCACGCAGATCCCCACCGAGGACTGAGGTTACCCAAAACAACACCAACCGCTCCCAACACTTCCTACTTCATGGATCAAGCAGCCAAGCCAACACCGTCACAAGGCCAGAGACCTTAATCAGCTTTTGATCTGATCAAACAGCAGGCCAGGCCGGTGCCAGCCTCTCCACATCCCCCCACCAGCGGGAAGAACATCCACTGCGGCTTCTCTCCCCAGCAGATGCTGGCTGGGAGCGCTCCAGATAAGCACAGGGCTCCACGTGTGCTCCCACGCTAACCTCATCATAGAATCACGGAATGGTTTGGGTTGGAAGGGACCTTAAAGATCATCCAGTTCCAACCCCCCTGCCATGGGCAGGGACACCTTGCACTAGACCAGGTTGCTCCAAGCCTCATCCAGCCTGGCCTTGGACACTTCCCGGGATGGGGCATCCACAGCTTCTCTGGGCAACCTGTCCCAGTGCCTCCCCACCCTCTCCAGGAAGAATTCCTTCCTGATGTCCCATCTAAACCTCCCTGATTTCAATTTAAACCCATTACCCCCTTGTCCTGTCACTACAGGCCCTTGTAAAAAGTCCCCCCCAGCTTCCTTGTAGCCCCTTCAGGTACTGGAAGGTGCTATAAGGTCTCCCCGGAGCCTTCCCTTCTCCAGGCTGAACAAGCCCAACTCTCGCAGCCTTTCATCATAGGAGAGGTGCTCCAACCAGGAGAGCACAAACCACGGCTTCCAGGGAGACACAGACCTTTAAACAATGCTCCAGGGAGAAAGAAATCTTTAAAACAACCAGCTGGGGTAAATACTGGCCTCAGGAGTTTCTTACAGGGTCGTGCACGTGCAGTTTGGACTCTCTCGTGCGTGCGCAGGGCGAGCAGGGTGCCCCTACCCCAGGAGTCTCTACGCAACATGCCAGAACAGCCCTGGCTTCTCTGCATCCAGCGCTTGCCTCGTAGAGGTAAACGCACCTCCATCCGGGATGCGGCAGAGGCAGTTCTCCCTCACGTCAAGGCTCTCAGCACCCTGGGGTCACCCGAGAGCAGAACCAACACTGACAGTGACACCGCAGCCTCCCGCAGCGCTGCATTTCAACCTCTCTTCTCCTAATCCCAGACTCACGCGGTCACTGCTGTTTGAGGTGGCGAAATACACCTTTGGGTACGCCATGGATCTCATCCCTCGATCCCTCACCCCCGAGTGCTGCACACTGAGGGCCGCCTCTCCGCATGCTCCAGCACCCAGCGTGACAGACGGCTGGGCTAAAGACTGCTCACCTCCGCGGTGCTCCTGGTCCGGACAGCACCCCTCTCCCAGCACATCCCCGTCTTCCCAAAGCCTTTCTTCTCCCTGACCTCTCTGCTCTTCTCTAACTCCGGCCAAGAAACACCATGCCACGTGTCTGTCTGCCCTGGGTCACTTGGCAGTCCCTCGGTTCCACTCTGACAGCCGCTCCGCTGCTTTCTGTGCTCGGGACACTCCACCAACACGAACAGTCTCCCAGGCTGGCATCCACCCCCCCTTCTCAGCCCCGGCGCAGGAAAGGGTTAAACTCAGGATTACAAGGAGTCACCCACCGCACAGGCCTGGAAGAGCACTGATCTACTGGTGCAGGGAAACGGAAGGGCTCAGGATGCTCCCAGCCAGCCAGCGAGCCCTTTGCTTCAGCTTCAAACACAGCAGTGAGAAAGCCAAAGAGCAAGGGGACAAGGGGACACATTGGGCCACATCCCCAGGGCAAGGGAGGATGACGAAAGAAGGCAGCAGAGACAGAGAGGAGGGAGAGGAGAGGGAAAAGTGAGGAGATACTCACCAAAGAGACATGAAGAGGTGCCAGGAGGAAGAGCTTTCCTCACCAGCATGTTTTGTTTCAGAAAAGCAGCGAACTGAGCTGAAATGAATCAGAGAGAATTACAGTATCACAGCCCGGCTCTGGAGGGGGACAAGGAACTCCAGGGACACCACTGCGACCCACAAGGCAGAGACCTCAGAGCAAGCAGGGAGCTCTGGACATCGCTCATCCACCACGGGGCGTAACGCAGACACCCCGAACTCCGCTCCGGACATGTGACACCAGAAGGGGCATCACCCCAGCCTTCTCAGAGAGCATATCCCAACAGCACGAGCCCTCTCCAGCCCCACAGCCACGGGGAACACGCGCAGGCTTGGCTGCGAGGCACGGCAAGCTGGGCCGAGTTGCGCCACGAAGCCGAGAGCAGCCGGGAGAGGTCAACCAGCACATCCCTGAGCAGCTATGGGCAAACACGCAGGGCAGAAGCCAGGCTGCAGCACCGCTCCGCACAAAACAAGGCAGCCACGACACATCCCACTCGCCCTGGAGCCTCCTCCTGCCTCCCCTGTGCTACCTAGAAACTTCTTTCCTCCACTATGATGACAAAGGAGTAGATTTCTACTCCATGGTGTGAGAAATTAAGGGAGATCCCATTTCAGCTTCCCCCCGGAGCCTCCCCCCGGGTTAGAGAGAGGCTTCGGAGAACGTGGAGGGTCACGCTGTGGCAGGAGACAAGAAGCCTGTTCACCTCTGTCCTGAGCAAAGAAGGAGAGAAGGGAGGACGGAGAACTATTCCCCAGGTGCCGCCGAGATTTGCCAGAAGGAACCATCACCGACAAAACCGTCACCAACACTCATGGCATTCCCGATCCGACCGAAGCCACACCCTGAGGTTTTTAATCAGCAACTAACAGGACAAAACCCACACAGCTCAAGCTGGTTTCTTACTTTCCACTGCCATTTGCTGCAAGAGGACTCTAATTACCCCAGCCCCACTGCTCCAGTCGCAGTGCAATAGCCTCCATCGCCTCCGGAATACCTTTAGTCTCCCTCCCAAGCAGCTTCCAGGGATGTGAGGCGCCAGCCAAGGGGCTCACACTCCAAAAGGAATTAGTCTGGCTACATGGCGAGGTCAGCCTTCCCACCCCGACAGCAGAAAGGCTCCACAAGCTGCCAAAACACCGTATCCAACCTAGTTTCAACCCTCCGCAGGCTGCTGCCTTCGGATGACAGCGAGGGGGGATGGAGCCGCAGAGGAAGCTGCCACGGGGAGCTGAGAAATCCAGACAGGACTCAGAAGGTAAAAACCCAAACCCGCCAGGACAGATCTAGACTGAAAATCCAGACGCTAAGAGGGCGGGAAAGCCACAGAGCGTTACCTTGAGCCTGCTTGTGCGTCAGTACAGCGTCCGTCCTCTGCACCTGCCTCTTCAGCCCCAGCTGCGTGGCGCCGATGGGGCCGGACTTCTGGAGGGAGGCCACCGCGGCCATTTTCGTCTTGGGGCTCGAAGTGGGGCTGCTGGAGACGCTGGATAAGTCCTGTTCGAAGAGAAGGAACACCTCTTACCCCATGGTTCACCCCAGAGGCAGAGTAACCCGGAGCGTAGCAGCGCGCAGGGAAGAACGCGCTTCCTGCTGCTGGAGCAGCGCCATTTCCGGAGGTTCGTTTGTCCCACCACCAGTGATTATTCCCTCCATATCCTCTCACCTCCCTCTCCCAACACTAACCAACGCCTCTCGCCACGTATTTCAGCCCAAAGCATCCCAGAGAGCCCCCACCTCTGAGCCCGAAGGCGAGGCAGGCACTTTGGCCGCCGGCGAGGCGGGCCTGCTGGTTCTTTCCGGCAAGTCAAACGACAGATCCCTCCTGGTCGAGTCACGTGGCTTCTTCTTCTTCTCGGCATCCAAGTCGCGGGGGTCGGAGCCCAAGTGGCTCTCCGCTCGGGTGAGGACTCCCGTTAAGAAGTCGGCTATTTCATCCTAGGAAGGATGGAACAGTTAGACTAAGCGACACGCAGGGCTCCAAACAACTGATCTTCACAGCCTGGGACTGAAAAAGCCCAAAAGATTCCCAACATTCCACAAAAAGGAATCCTAACGCCTCACAGACGCACCGTGAAGCTCACACTCCCGATTTCTGACACAGGAGAGAGAAACAGGGTGGTTTCTCCAAGGCTCCCGGAAGTACCGCTTGCTTGCCGGGCAGAGGATCGCTCTTTGTTCCAGGTGCTTTACCAGGAAGCTTGCAGCTCTCCTCCCAAAGGGAGACAGCCGCTTCAAAATCCCCCTCAGGAGGCAGATTCCCTTCATCCCACCAAGCCTGGCAGGAAGGCTGTCACTTGTGGTCATGGGAACATCTCGTCACCCATTTTTTTTAAGGATCTGAGGTGCGAAAGGAAGATTTCTGCAGTTACCTGGATGCACCTGTCCACCATGCTCTGCGTCAGACCTTCCGACTTCTTTTTGGCTTTGCTTATCCTATTAAAAACACACGGAAGTCAACACACATTTGGTTTTCCACTTTCACATTCACAGCATCACCCGAGAGGGAGATTCAGGCGACAGCAAGCTCGCTCCCTTCCCCAGTCAGACACAGGGAGGCAAGAGCCCGCTCTCAACTCAACCCCACTCTCAACGTTGAGAACGACGGGATTCATCCCTCCGAAGTGCCGAGACAAACTCAGAGGCAAAAGGCCCAGCATCCCAAAGCATTTTGCAGAGCAAATATGATGTTTCCTTCCCTTCAGAGCTCACTTCAGCCCCAGGATCGGAGTTTACGTTCCTTTCTTTCCCCTCCTTTACGGATTATCCCTACTATACATTTCTGACACGTACGATGCTCCAAAATCCTGTCCGCGCTGCCGAGTCCGGTTGTAGCATCAGGCCAACCCCACTCCCATACACACCTCACTCAGGATTTTGGTGCAGTTATTCCAAACACACACAAGTGTGACAGGAGAACACGCTCCAAAGCTTACGGAAACCTTCAGAGCTTCTTGCCAGCCTCCCGTACCCCAGTCCTGTGCACAGCCTCCGACTGCTACATATTCCAGTGCCAGGGGTGGCAGGGAAGAGGGAATATTTGCCCTAGTGTCATAGAGCTGTACCCTAGGTCTTTAACTCACCACAATGCAGATCTATCCAACACACAGGATTTGAACATGAAAGCCGATCTTGATGGAGCACTTTTATGCCGTTCCCATAGTTGCCATACCAAATCTGGGTTGTTTTGTGTATTTTTGGTACGTGGCACGCTCAGATCTTGCCCAGTGTTCCTGGGAAAAGAGCATCTGTCTCGCAGATGGTTACCTGAGATTGTCATCTGCTCCTCCCACCACCACCATGCTGTTATCGGCTCGGATCTTCTCCCGGAAATCTTCCATCTCTTCGATGTTGCACTGCAGGGAATTCTGACCGATGACAAAGAGGACAGGGGTCTTCATGTCCAGGAGGGGGTCGTCGACATCCTGCAAGAGCAAGGGCAACCATCAGCCAGAAGGACCGATGCAGGACGCAGAGTCTTTGGAGCCAAATGCCTTTCTGAGACGAGCGCTTTCCAAAAAGGCACGGCACGTGCCACGGGGGCAGAGAGCACGACCCCAGTACATACCAACTACATCCTGAGAGAAAACCATCTCGTGAGAAAGACCAACTCAAAAGCTCCACTACAACGTGTTGTCACTCATTAACAGCAGAGACTGACGCCTCATTCCGCCACGTGTTCCCCCTTCCAAGCCTCGGCCGCACAAACCCAGGATAAGGCTGAAGAAGCTTCCCGGGGTGAGCCCCCAGAGGGATTTACGCAGCCACAGAGCCCTGAAGAAAACTCAGTGCTCCAGCAAATGCCATCTACACAGGAACGGGACACATTCCCCCTACACTCAGAACTGGCCGTTCCATCAGCACAGCCGTCACCATTCCCAACGCACCCACACGCCCCTCAGCAATTTGGGCTCCGTATAAATCAACCCAAGGCGTCACCTCTGGTGCCAAACGACACAGTTAACGAGCGACCCGCAGGCGAGACCCCAGGACGGAGCTGCAAGAGCACGTCACGGCAGAGACAAGGCGACACAGGACTTCCCACGCGTGAAGAATCCCACTGCGAGGGCACGAGTCCTGCCTGCAGGTCACACCTCCCCCAAATAAGCATCACACAGACATTCCTCAAAAAAAACTTCCAGTTAGCACTGTCCAGGCCTGATTCCATCCAACAATCCAGAGAAATTTTAAAAAAGTGTCATTCTTTAAAGAGCTACATCCCCCTTTGGTCCTCACCCCTCTGGGGCCGTCGACAGTGAGAAGCGGGAATCCAAGGCACACAACGGCAGTGACATACTCCATCACTGAAACCTGGGTGGGAAAAGCAACAGTCAGCATCCCAACGGTCGAGAGCATGGACGGTGCGACTTGCCAGGCACAGAAATAGCTTCCGTTTGCTTTGTGGATTGAAGGAGTGAGGAAAACCAACACTGAATGTCTCGAATGACTCAAATCGTTTCCGTCCCCAAGACCAGAAAAGATGTGTCCAGCCCTGGAGCCCCCCGAAGTAGAGAAGGACACGGACCTGCTGGAGCGAGTCCAGAGGAGACCACGGAGATGCTCCGAGGGCTGGAGCCCCTCTGC